CCTCTGATAGCCAAAGGCGTCTTGCATACTATTTCCAAAAAAGAAAATGAGCTCAGAGGCATGTGTAGTCTTAATTACCAGAATGTATCTATCTACATGTGTTCCTGCTTCCTAGGTTTATTTATGGGAAAACAAAACAAAACAAAACAAAGCAAAACAACCCATTCTTTTCTAAAGATGGCCACTTTCTTTAGGTACCATCTCCATGACATTTGGATTTATTTTTATGATGAGAAACTCTGAACTTGTTCTTTTTCCTTTCTTTCTTCATTTGTACACAAACCATTTGACAGGCAGTGGTCTTTTTTTAATTATGAAGCTTTTTTCAATGGGAGGTAAAACATCAGAAAGAACAAACAAAGACAAATGCAGACAACCACGTGGGAAAAGTTAAATAACATTTGATGGTTAGAAGTGTTTACAACAGTATACTCTTAGAAGCTCTTCTAATATTATTAAGCAGATAAATTGATGCTTTCAAAACTTTACACTAGGATGGAGAGGCTTCCTTCAAACATGTCTTAGCACTCCTTATGACTCTCTAAAAAAATAGAAACCTATTTGTCAAGAAGTTCAACATAATAGCAGAGCATGGCTGTTTATGTTTTTACATCTATCTGTGTCCTTGACAAGAGCAGTATTAAATAACCCAATATCCAGTGATATCTTTTTAGAGATGCTTAATATTTGTAATAATCAAATTACTATGACACTGAAGTCAGCAACATATTGCAGGAATGCAAAAGGAATAATTTTAAAATATATACTTTGTTTGCTATGTCCTGCTTTTTTTCTTAAGAGTCTAGGATGAGTACAAGGCTGAATATTCATGCTTTCAGTTTCTAAAATGCAGCAATTGATAGTAAACCTTATTGAGTATATTTACAGCTGCAGAGGTTATTTGAAACATCTATCAAATTTTCATGTAGGTGTACACCATAGTTTACAGCTTATATAAGGCCCCTCATTTAAGGATTGTGAAAATGTGAATGCGTGTCTTCTTTTTTTATTTTCGTTTTCTGCCAGTTTGGGTTTCACTGCAGTTTCATACTCAGCCTCTACTGGAGTGGTTAACAGCAAACCTCCCTGAACATATACAGAATTAAATTTCAAACTTAATTTGGTTATTAGTGAGACACACCTGATACCAATATCTCACTTCAATCATGTAAATAGAAAGAAATGTACTTAACTAATTAGAATTGCATCCGTATTGTAGAGGTGTGAGATCAGATTTTGTAGATTGAATGGAGTTATCATATATTTGGATTTAATCCACGACTTTAAGGTACTTGCAAGAGGTATTCAGGGAGGGATCAATTTGCATATGTGTATATTGATGTTTACAAATACACAGAGTCATAGGATCCTCAAAGTTGGAAAAGAACTCCAGCATCATAAATTCAACTATAAACCCAGCACTGTCATAATCACCACTAAACTATATTCCCAAATGCGACATCCACACACTTTTTGAACACTTCCAGGGATGATGACTCCACCACTTCCCTGGGCCGCGTGTTCCAATGCCTAACCACCTTTTCTGTGAAATTTTTTTTCCTAATTTCCTATCTAAATCTCCCGTGGTGCAGCTTGAGGCCATTTCCTCTTGTCCTGCCACTTGTTACTTGTGAGAAGAGACTGACCCCCACCTCACTACACCCTCCTTTCAGGTAGTTGTAGTGCCATTCTCTGGACTTGCTCCAGCTCCTCAATGTCTTTCTTGTAGTGAAGGGCCCAGAACTGAACGCAGGATTTGAGGTGCAGCCTCACCAGTGCTGAGTACAGGGGAATAATCACTGCCCTGGTCCTGCTGGCCACACTACTGCTGATACCGCCCAGGACGCCTTTGGCCTTCTTGGCCACCTGGGCACACTGCTGGCTCATGTTCAGCTACTGTTGACCAACAGTCCCAGGTCCTTTTCCGCTGGGCAACTTTCCAGTCCCTCTTCCCCCAGCCTGTAGCACTGCATGAGGTTGCTGTGACTGAAGTGCAGGACCCGGCATTTGGCCTTGTTGAACCTCATACAATTGGTTGTGGCCCAATGATCCAGCAACGATAGGAGGGAGCAAAGAAGATGGAGCCAGAGTCTACTTTGAAAGGACAAGAGGTTTTGGACTTAAATTTTAACATAGGAAAATCTATTCAAACGTTGAAAATAACAATTTTTTTTTGTTTTTTTATGTTGTTCACAGGGTGGTCCAGAGAGATTGTGCAGCCTTCATTCTTGGAGGTATTCAAAACCTGACTTGACATGGTCATGAGCAACCTTTTATTGATGACCCTGCCTTGAGTACTGAGGTTGAACTAAACAAATTCTTGACGTGCCTTCCCACTTCATCTATTCCCTGATTCTGTGAGATTTCATTTTATTCTTAAATACTATCCTCTTATTTGCTTGACCTTGATACTTAAATTTGGAAATTAATTGCCAAATTAAGAAAATATACCATTTAAATGTAATTTACTACATATTCCTGTAATCAGAATTACTATTTAGAAACAATGCCTCAAGCTCAATTTTGTGCCATGATTTGGTCTAGGCAGAAAGTTGGATAGGGGTGAAATTAATAGTGATTAATTTATACCATTTTTACGGCATGTTCTGAAAATGCTGTGAAAGATAGGCAGAGATTACATCAAATAGTTCTTACCTGCCTCAGGGCTGTTCTAACTTAGGATAAAAAATAAAACCCAGGCTGAAAGCAGAAACAGATAGGTATCTGAAATAAATGATGATATAATCTATTGCTCTCTTTGCTGCAAGGTTATCCCAGTGCCTATCAACATTCCTCAGAGATCCACTGTGTCTGTGTTTAAAAGCCATCAAGCGTTTCTAACTGAAAGACTTGTTAAAACTATTCCGTACTCCTGACATCATCCAAGAACAGGCCTTTAATCTTGTCAGAAGTTTATGACTAAATAAAAATTTTAAACTAAAATTTTAAAGGATTTGATTGTGGTGAGGTACTTTTGTCCAGAGGGCTGCTAACAGTCAGGGAATTTGGCCTTTAGCTTGAAGACAAAAGAAAAATTGTTATAAAACTTTTCTTCCTTTTCCTGTAACCAAACCAACACCACCAAAAAAAATCCTATAAATCAAGTATATTAAAATAATAACTGGAAAATTAATTTGTTTACAGTGGTGGTCTGCTATGCAAGAAGCTGAATTACATTTGTGCTAAGTGAAAAAACTTTCATGCATCTGAATTTTCTGAGCAGTACCAGATCAGATTGATACCTCTAGACTGCATCAACAAAACACCAAGTCCTATTTTATATTTATGTGGTCATTTAAATATATGGGATAATAGGCCAAATATGATCTGAGAGTGAAATGAAATCTGGAGAGCAGAACCAGTACAGGGTGCAGGTTTCTAATCAGCTTCTATTAGAATCAGAACAGGCCGTTGATTTCTTTTTTATATGTATATATTGGTGCCAAATCCAGCCTGGGAACAAGGAACAATACAGATCATTTTTCACAGACCCCCACAGAGATCAAACCACTCTGTGAAGTAATGCACTGGAACTTAAGTGAAGTTTTTCACAAACATGGGCTGTTGTGGTTGCCTGAAATTTCTGACATGCCAAAAGGCAGCAAAGTAAAGGGGATCACATTCACTGGATTTCTGCTCAGGCTGTTATCGCAGATTCCTTTGAGGTGCTGAGCCCAGAAACAGAGAAGGCCAACGTATCTTGGAAACTGTAAGCCAGTACTGTATCTACTAATACACTGTACATGCCTGAGGTCATCCCCCTCAAGGATAACAGCCATGAGACAGCCCACATTTGTCTCTTACTCTCCAAGTCAAGGTGGCCACATGAATGGCAGGCAGCTTCTCCAGATCCTGGTTCATGCCCAGCAATGACCAGGCTGAAAATTTAGCAATATGGTGACTGGATTTCAGGGCTTGGGAACACTCTTTGACGCTATTTTCCATAATACAGATGCAGTCTATATATCCCTTTTATGATCAAAGCGTCATCATTTTGATGGCAAGTAAGTTACAAATATAGAACTACAGTTCTCTCTCTCTCCTTAGCATATGCTTAATGTATGTGGGAATGGGATTTGAGACGTAAATAAATGCTAGATTGCACACAATTGGAACTGTGATTTGGGCATTATAAAGTTATAAAGAAGAATGCATGTGAATACACAACTTGAAAATGGAAGACAATATTAACAGAAGAAATCAAATGAAATACTTCACTCCAGATCTCCTGTGAAAACTACAGTGATTGTCATCTTGGAGAACCCTAACAGACATCCTAGATCTATATTGCACCACATGAAGGGCAATTTCATCAGGTCCTTCAGTGCATGGTTACCCCAGAGCACGACTGTCTCTTCTTAGTAGTGTTTCTTTATCACTATGGGTTTGTACTGCTAGCTTAACATCCCTTTGCTTTACCATTTGCTGGGTGATTTGAACTAACAGAAGGAAACAAGAAATATAACCCAGAAATGTGTGCTTTGCTCAGTTACAGACAAGGACGTTAAACCATAATAATGCTCCCCGCCAACAGTGAGATGTTCACATCCTGAAAAAAACAGCTGCATATACAGGTGTCTGCACCAGATGCTTCCCTAAGCACAATGTGATAAAAGTGATTATTCCTCACTCAACAGAGAACAGTCCCTAAGCAGGGTATTTAAAGAAGAGTGATAATGCAGGTAATTAGGAGCCCCATGCTTTACACACAAAGCAATTTTAAGAGGGTGAAGCTGAGAACCATCTGTCTTTATATGTTTTATCTGTGAATTCATCATAACAATGAGCAGTTTTCAGTCTGATTTCTCAAGCAAGATTCTACTTAGAAATTGTTTAAGGATAAATAACTTATCCCTAGTTGTAATAAGTGGTACCTTGCCCTGTGACTCCAACGGGAACATGGGCATTAGAATGTAATACCTAGCCAATGGACATTTCAATAAGGAGTGAAGGAATACCCTGGTCTTGCCTCGAAGTATGTATATAGTGACTTTTCCTACCTTTGGACTTCCTGTCGTGGTAGCTCCTGCCTCGATAATGGTGGCCACTGTCTGTGTACAGATTCTCAAGATCTTCTTGCCAGGAGTCCGGGTTAAAGTGTTTGAGCAGATCCTCCACTGTGTCAAATGCAGCAATGGTTTGATCCAGTGCTTCTGCCGTGAGCGTAGCATCAGTCACTGATGGAGAGGGATAGGATACCCCCTAAGAGTGACATATATCTCAGTGCACTTTGAATAAGTTACAGCACCACTTAAAACAATTGAAAACAGTTACTGAGAAACTTGTCTCATTATTGAGTGAAACAGCTACTTCGGGCCATCTTTTGAAGTCTTTACCTGGGCCAGGTTTTGTTATACCTGTGTTTTCTTTTTGTAAGGAGAAGAGACACCAAGGAACTCCCAAACAAACCCCAGAGGAGATTCAGGGAGCAAAAGCACTGCCACTGGTGGGCTGTTAGCATTTACATCCACTTCTCAAAGGGGATAATGGTTTGCACATTTACAGAGATGTAATGAAAATGTCTTTTGAAACCACCGTTATGGCCATGGATATAGAAGAGAGAGGCCAGCTTTGTCAGTTATTTGATAAGAGGCAGACCAGAAACCATAGCAGAGAAAGACAAAGACAATAAGTCCACTATCTTTCTCTGGTCAACTTGGGCAACAAATTTGGCTTGGTTGAAGACTTGAAAAAATGACCCTTTATTCCCCAAAATTAAATGTATTTCAATATACCAATTGACATTTTTTACCAAAAAATACAACTGATTAATCAAACAGAAAAAATATGATACTTTGATCTTGGGGGTGCTGGTGGGGATAAGAGGCTGGACATGAATTGGTAACATGAGTTTGCAGCCCAAAAAGCCAACTGTATCCTGGGCTGCATCAAAAACAGCGTGGCCAGCAGGGTGAGGGGGGAACTTGCCCCTCTATTCCGCTCTTGTGAGGCTCCACCTAGAATACTGCATCCAGCTCTAGAGTCCCTAGCATCAAGGAAGGGCATCAACCAGTTGGAGCAAGTTCAGAGGAGAGCTATGAACATGATTAAAGGGATGGAGGAAAGGCTAAGAGAATTGGAATTGTTCAGCCATGAGAAGGCGTCAGGGTGACCTAATTTTGGTCTTCCAAAACCTGAAGGGACCTTAAAGGAAAGACAGAGAGAGATTTTTTACAAGGGCATGTAGTGATAGGACAAGGAGGAATGGCTTTAAAATAAAAGAGGGGAGGTTTAGGTTAGATATTAAGAAGAAATTCTTTACTGTGAGGGTGATGAGACACTGGAACGGGTTACTCAGATGGATGCCCCATCTCTGACAGTGTTCACTGTCAAGTGGAGGGGGCTGTGAGAAAGCTGGTCTACTGGAAGGCATCCCTGCCCACAGCTGGAATGGAACTAGATGATCTTAGATGATCCTTAAGGTCCCTTCCAACTCAAGCTATTCTATGCTTCTATGATCTCAGCAATGTAACAATGAATATTTGGATTACCAACGTATTAATATCCTCACAATTGTATCAAATAATATTATTTCCCATCCGTAAGGGCCAAGCACCATTCTCTGAGTGCTCCCATTGAACCTGTGGTACAACTTAACTTTGACAGAAAGATTGTAGTAATTTCAGTTTTCCAGGAGAGGACTTCAAACATTTTTAAAAATCATTATTTAGAATTACAATATCCACTATCCTGACATCGCTTTTTCCCTGGTCCAAGCACAAAGTCAAATAGTATGCAAATATTATGTAAAATATTTGCAAGAAAAGCTATTAATGCAGCTCTCTTACTTTTTGAAGGACCACAATCAAAATACATTATTTTGTCCAACAAGAAGCATAGTAGAGCACGAAAGTTGTTTGGTCTTACATGTTAAAACACTGGGGGGAAAACCCTAGAAAACTCTTGTCTTATGAAAACCCAGCTCTGAAGTAATGCAGCAGAAATATGCCATTTAAAATTAATGGCTTCCCAAAATATTTTTTTGCCTCATATCCTAGTTAAGTTAAACTATTAATCTTTTTGATTAACTTCACTCAGTTAGGTAGAAATGAAAAGGTCAACTCATTTGAGTAAATTCACTCATTTTTTTTTTTGCAGGATTGTGTCCTTCAATTCCTACTATAATAATTTTAAAGTATATATGTCTTTTAAAATAAAACAGTTGTCTCTAATGGTAAGATATATCACAAAATTAACAATCCTTGATATTTTACTGCATTTATTTGCTGAAAGTATGGACAGTACAAATTATTAAAAAGAGAAGAAATAGAAAACATAACAATAGTGCAGTCAAGAAAGCACAGCTGCGCTTTACCGCTTATGACCAACGACCCAAGAAGTTTCAGAGGGCCCACTTGTGACTGCAATGCCTCTCTAGTGCCATGCTAAGTAAGACACAGTGCAGATGCCTGTAAAAATTCATGTCCCCTAAAAGGGAAGGTATACCTCATAGCCTCTCTCCTGACTTCTAAGTGGCTTAGAATAGAGACTGCCAGAAAGATGGAAGTCCCAGGAGTTGAAAAGCTCCAGCTGAAAAGCTCACCAGTTAAGTGAATATGGCATTGTTATCTAAAGCAATGTTGCAGGAGAGACTATGCAGTGGCCAGCATCATGCAGTGTGCTAACACAGCCTTTTGGGCCACAAAAGGAAAAGGCATCCAAATGCTACTTTTTTACTAAGAAGAGCTTGGTGGGGCTCATGGCAGCCCAACAGGGAAACATCAGACCCTGATTGCCTTTCAAAAGTGAGGGAGATGGTGCAAGGAGACTGAAGAAACAGCACATAAAAATCAGGCCACAGGTCTGTGGCTTACTCAATGCAAGAGATTTTTTTTTTCACATGTTCAACTGTACATTTCATTACAGAAATGCAGATCAGTGAATGTGCAAGGCATTTCAAACTGAGACAGCTAGGCATTCTCCATTTTCATTTCATATAAAAGCTCCTACTCAAGAGATTTGTGCAACCTCGTTCAAACATAGAAGAAAGCTTAATGTTTTCTCAGTGACAGCCAAATAAAGAGGAATTATTTCAACAGCTCAGATAGCCTCCTGACACCATGTGACAGGCCCAAAAGCAACTTCAAAGCTGCCAACAAAACTGCCTTTTTTTTTTGTTCTGCCAAGAATGAGGTGCTGGCTTTAGGAGAGTTTGTGCTCGTTGTAATCCGGCTTCTGATATGGCATCCAAAGAGGGAGCAAGAAGAAGAGTGAAATGTAAGAAGCAATGAAGAACAAAGATTTACCACATTTTGTATCTCTTTTGCATTTCTTAAAAGCACTGAATACATTTTTATTGTAATGGAACACAAAGGTATCTTTTTTTTTGTCAGTGCTCTTGCCCCTAATTTCTATTCCCCCATTCTTTTCTCTTTCCTATCTCTGTTGTGAACCTGACAGACAGTCCAATGTGCATCACAGTTTTTTTGTTGGACATAAAATTACTTCAGAAATAATGGAAACTAAACTAATAAGGAGTGATTTGTTTCCTTTTTATTTTTTTTCCTGGGTTTCCCATGATGGGTTAAGGGCAGAAGTATTTGTTTTAGTTTTCTGAGAAAAAAAAACCAAAACCCAAACAAAACATACCTCTGTAATATGATCTCCAACATGGAATTTGCTCACTCTGAAATTTTCATTCTGAAAGTTGTAATGTGTCTGGATCCTAAAATGAGTCCTTGAGTTGCTTGTGGGTTTGAGAGAGCAATTTTTGAGCATCAGTAGAATCTTATGTCATCAAGACTTACAGGTCTGAGTTTGTCTCTCTGCTCCTCAAGACCAGAGTAGAACCCCTGAATCTTTCTCTCCTGAAGAACTTGGGTGTTCTCAGACTTTTTCCTTCGTGCTTTTGTGAAAAATTGCTCCATCTCCCTACCTTATTTTCCCTGAGGATAAAAGGGACTTGTAGGTGCGACACACACCCAAGTTGAAGAAAATATGTTTTATTAGATAGGGAATGGTGCGGGAAAACCAGTAAAACTGAGGTTCTGCTTCTGGTTGAGCTGTAAGTTTCCAGGTGACCTTGGGCATCAGCTTGCTACCTGTAACATTTGTACTGAATTTCCCTACCTGCAACATGGTAACAATTTTTCAAAAAAAAAGATGTGGAAGATAAACTTAATTTTTCAATATGAAAAGGATACTGGATTTTGGTTTGGTATATTGTGCATTTTATGATGTTAAGGATGTTAACTAACATGGCGTATACCATATCATTGATCTCATTTTCATAGTCATCTGCTGAGGGAGCCCTAGGCTTACATTTTCAAACATCAGCCTATCAAATTTTTAAACAAAATATTCCATCATATAGATTTTTTTCCCCCCAAGCCCATAATAGAATGAAAAATGAGTTTATGTCTTTCAGTAAAACTGTTTTAGCATCTCCCGCTTGGCACATCTAGTAGATCTCAGCCCTGCTAACATTACTCCTCAAGACTTTCAGCACAATTAGTTCCAGGCAATCAATGCATCGTATCATGAAGGACAAGTTTCATTTGCAAACTCAAGGGTAAACATAAGTAAGACTAGCTTAACAGTTTCTAATTTTGGCAGTACAGAATTTTCTCTCTACTCACTGCCTGGATTGGACACTGATCAGTAGAATTTACCCATATTTTATTTACTGCTCCTTCACTGGCTACTCCTGGCAGCTATTGTAACAAAGGTGCTATCATTAAGCTCTCTTCCATGAATGCTCCAAACATTGGTCTCAAATCTGCTTTTAGCATTTATCCCTACATCGTGTTTTAAGAGGAGTTAACAAGAGCTGTGACATGGTGCTGCCTAGGCAGCAGAGCACACAGAAGAGGACTGCCCGTACTATGAATTGATGCTACACTGCTGTTCCCAGGTGTTGGGAAAGAGAGGACAGATTTTTTGTCAATGACACAAATCAAATGCAATGAAGAGAAAAGTAAAATTTTATACTGGATTACATGTTTTTCTTCTTTTTTCTGTTTTATTTTTCTCTGAGTTGCATTTCACTGCTGAATGCGGAGACTTCAGGTATAATATTTTATTGGAAACACTTTAAAAAAAATTCTCAGTATTCACAATGAAAAATTCTCAGTATTCACAATGTTCCTACTGTTTTAATTATAGTTTTCTGTTTAGGTCAAGACATTCTACAATTAAAAATTTTAAGTTTATATCCTGTATTTTCATACTGGGAGAATGAGTTTGAAAGCAAGAAATGTTTCCCAATGGTTATCTCATGTGATTACAACAGTTTTTGGCATATCCTGAATCTTTTATCTCTAAAACCATACTGATTGACTCCAGTATGAGTTGAATAAACACTTATTTCGTTCTATTCCAAAAGCGAATACATGGTTTCTCCATGCAGGTGCCATTTTTGTGAGTTGGATTCAAGCCATCCTATCAATCCATCCATGCACAAAATAGTGAAAAATTACTTACTGAGACAGAGCTTGTGACTGACTCCCAGTTGGTTTCTGAGGCTGCATGCTGGAAATCATCCTAAAGGGAAAAACCCACAGGAAAAATCACTGTTAAGGCAATATCCAAAATTAACTACAGAACCTAGGAAATATTTCAGCATTCAACCTCTGTCACTTTTTCTAATCCTCTTTATTGCAAGAGTCCCTTGCTATGTGTCATTCCTAAAAAATGCTATTTCCATTAAGGTTCCTCCCTTTTCATTGTGTATAAACTAGCTCCTTGCAAGCTTGTTGGGACAAGAATAGTGGTATAATAATAATAATAATAATGATGATGATGATGACGATAACAATAATACCACCACCAATATGATAATTGCTGCTTTGCATAGCAGGACCCAATGTGGTCCAGGACATAATATTTATCTTCTTTATATTAAACACCATCTCTGTATGCCTACAATATCAATGCCATTGCCAAACTGATCTGTTCTGGAAAGAATGTGGACATGCCAATACCCTGGAATTACTTAGTCAAGGTGAAAAGCAGAGTAATCTAATCCATTTGAAAAGCAGTCCTAACATGACTGTATTGCTTTTGGTGCTTGAGCTGAACAGGAGTTGCTCATCTGTACAGGAATGGCACTATGTTCTTTACACCAAAAAACACAGTCGCAGTACATTCACAGTAGAAGTGTCACTGCACCAAACCTCTGGGCATTTATGATTAATTTGAGCACAGGGATGGGTTTCATCTCCTCCACCTTAGGACATCTATAAAGCCAACATCTAAGTGAGTTGTTCTTGTTTCCATTTACAGTCAACAAAACCTGGCATTTTCAGGGTGAAAATCATCTGATAAACTGTTTTAGAAACTTAATTTGGAATGACATCACATCCTAAAAAAGCATTTTTGTCTCCATTGTCTCTATAAAAGGGACATGGGAGGATGAGCTTAGGTATCGATGTCAAAACTGTAGATATTGACATGTAGGCAACTAAATCCCAATCTGCTTGTCTGAGAAATCACTATTTAAATAATGAAGACGCCATTTCTTTAATATTTTGGTGGTTTTACACATTTCCAACTGGAATAACTAAACCATGAAAAATGGAAAAAAAGGCAGCATTACAGAATGGTCATTAAACACACACATGCAATAAATAGCTAATGATCAACATGATTATGCAGGTAAGGAAAGTGGACTGAAGTGACAGCATACAGAGATTTTAATTTCTAATAATCAAATTTATAATGAAAAGATTTAAAGAAGATGGATCAATGCCTGGGCTCACAATTTTGTCCCAACACAGTATCTGCTAAGCTAGAAACTGAAGGGGAAAATGGAAGGTAGCTGCTCAACTGATGCTCACTAGACTTGATCCTGCATTGGACCATACATATACGCATATATTATTTCTTAGGAATGAAAAACAGAAAATTGATCTCATAATCTGCTGATTCATCAATAAAATTTTCCTTTACTCAAGAAGGAACTGCTGTCAGATCCAGAATCAATACACATGGCTTTTTAATGTTTTTCATTTGCTATAGAAAAATATTCAAATATCTCAAAAGTCACAAGACTGTGTATTCAATATTGCTAGTGTTTCTTTTTAAAATGTTCCTTTCTGTCAAATCTGAAACATCAAAACTGTAGTGATTTCTTCAGTACTTAAGATTAGTAGACATTAATAAACCCCGTCACTAAGTGACCTTTGAAACTGCAGGGCTATTAAAAGGCTAGTAATTAAGTGGTCATTTTTTTCTAAGAATACAGAAGCAAAATATTTTAGGTACACTATTTCAAAGCAGATTTTTTTTTCTTGAAAACAATAAAAAGATCTGCAAAAGCTATGATCAGATCATAAATAATTCTGAATGTGGCTAGCTTGGCCACAAATTTAGTTGCCCAGTTCTTGACAAGCCACGACTTAAATTAAATAAAAATGGATTTGAAAAGCTCATGAATCCTCTGGTAATGGCTGCTAGTTGCAAAATTTGGAAATCATTTCCTCTCTGTCATTAGCTTCCATTTAGCACTTCCAGAAAAAGAACTAAAGTGGCATTGAGTTCTGAGGCATTATTTTAAAACAGGAACAATTTGTCTCATTGAATGTTTGGAGAAGACTGTAGACAACAAGTAATTTTGTGTTCAAAGTGATAGTCCCATTGTGTTATCTAACTGTAGATATCAAAAATGTTTCTTTAGTCTGATTCTTTGAGTTGGTTGATGCCAGGAAACCCCTCCAAAATCCTGAGATAGACACGTGTACCACCTGCTTCTTGGATCTCAAACCTTATGACTGCACATTTTGACTCTGTGATTATATTCGATCTGCATAAACTATTCTCAACCCTAGGCTTTTTTTCCACCATCAATCAAGGCAGCTGCAGTCATTCTTGACTTCTTGGAGCTTTCAACCTCTACAGTTTGAAGATTTTATTATCTATGGCTTCTACTTGCAGCTATTTCAAGTAATGATATTAAAGTAGTTCTCATCATTACAAAAGTCTCCCCTCTTTTCTCACCATTGTCCATAGTACAACCTGAAGGACAAATCTATGTTCAGTGCTATCTATTCAATTTATACTATCTTGTTTATGAAAATTTGCCTATGATCACTTTGGCTGTTGTTTTCTTCATTACTTAACACTAAACTTTTTAGTTAAAAAATTAAAAAAACAGAAACAAAAACCCCCAAACCTCAAAACCATAATCTCCACATCTTTTCTAACCTAATACTGGAAAAACAGGGTAGTAATAATTTGGCTATGTCACCCTGAAAACAGTGCTTCTATTCTTGTATGTGTCAAGGTAACATAACAGTACTGCATGAGACTTCAACAAAGCATTGCATTAACTATTCTACAAGCAGCAAAATTACAAACAAAACAACAGGACTACCAATCACCTTCTGATGGTAGCTACTTCCACTGAAGAAAAACGACTTCTAAACCTCAGCTTCCAAAATTACACTTCAGCAAGACAAATACTGAATCAGTCCTTAGAGTTAAATATGTATGGACATTGATATATTGTTCTTGGCTCTGTTTCAGACAAAGAAAAGCTACTCTCTCCTTCACAGACTGACTTTGTCTATAGCCTGTCTCCCACCATTGATCACCAATAAGTGACAAGGAGTCACAGGGAATACTCTGTGTTTCACCTAGAGCTTTCCCAAGTGGAAATCATGAGGCAAAATCACAGCTACTGATATATGAGACTGCAGAGCCAGATAGCACTGGTTGTTGAGGAAGATGATTTGCAGCCTGGGGGTCCATGACCTGCAGCAGCACAAGCTCTGCTGGGTTGAAGCCATTGGAATTGGTGGGGGCTGTAGGAACAGACAGGTATCAGGAAAACATCAGGGATGAGGATGAGAAGCTTGCCAGTTTGAGAAGCATGTTGTCCACAACTCACCTTGCTGTACCACCCATGTGACAAAACGTGAGTCCTTCCAGTCATGCTGGATTACTGCCTGGTCCTCAAATTAAAAGCAAGAAGCACTTTCTCATATTTCTGTGATTCTTCATTTTTTACATAGTTTATCTCTATAGACCAGTCTTTTGGCATCTTGGTACGTGACATCTATGAGGCAGGATGCCTGGGATAGGCTACAGCTGCCACAGGACAGGCACAGCACACTGGCAGCTCTCTCCGGGGGAAAGAAGTAGCCCCATATCTCTATGAACTTCTTTCTAAACTCCTTCTCTTAATCTGCAGGTTTGTGGGGTGAGTGGACTAGGTTTGGTAAGAGATTGTTTATCTGACAAAACAACTATAAACTACAGCTAAGGAAAGCTGAGGTGATACTCTCCGCTTCAAGGAGTGGGAAAGGTTCTCAAAAGAGTTGTGATTAAGCATCCCTGATCCTAAGACAGCATCCTTAACTGATGCTTAGGCTCTACTGGTTCAAGAGGGTCCTCTCCTGAAGGAGCAACCTTCTCTACTGTGACCTTCTACTCAGATGACAAGTAAGGGGTGAAGGGTAAAAATGAAGGCATGTTCTTGGGGCAAGTAAACATGAGAAAGAGGAAGAATGAAGCAAACTATGGAAAAATTAAGACAGAGAAGCTGAAGAGTTGGGCTCTGTCTGTGGTCACCCCATTTGTGGTATTTAGACATCATAAACTATAAAGCAAAGAGAAGCAGTTTCTAGAAATTTGCAGAAGAACAGAGCTAAGGGATGAACTGAGGTACACAGCAGATCCTGAAAAACCAAATCGGGGTGAAATGGGGCACATTCAAAAAGGTCCAGTACAGAAACAAAAAGTTGTGAACTCTCCATGGAGTGTAAGAATTAGAGACTAAGGAGAACGGAAGGTCTGTAAAGAAAAACTAGAATAAATTACAACTTGAATAAAAAAAAGGCAAAATTATCCTACTGTTTAGATTAATAAAAGGAAACTCAATCATACCTATTTTTGAATAATGGTCAACATTCAGAGCTACTTGCAAACAAGTAGCTGATAAACTTGTATTTGTCGATAGTAATAACAAATTATAATAATCTGGAAATATTTCTTTTCTCTTTCCTGCAACAGGCAATAGTACCAATATTTTCTCCAAGAATTGAATTTATAGAAATTACATTTTATTTAAAAAGCGACAGGTATTTCAAGCAAATAAACCCCAAACTCAGAACCTAGTTTGTAACAGAAATGGTGTTAGGTAAGTTAGAAGCAAAATAAAAGTCATAGTTCCATTCAAAAAAGTGCTGTGACACATACTCCATTTTGTACACTTTAACGTATTAATTATAATTCCTCATGTAGCATTTTAGTACACTCCAATTTCTATTCTTAAATATAAATAAAAATCATATAGATGTACACTTTGAAGTATCTTTTTCTTTTACCATACTTTCATTTCATCACATTGCTAGGCCTCAGTTTAATATTAGAATGGCATTTATTAGCACTTCTCCTAAGGATGCGGTAAGATACCTACAGCAGGCTACTCAATAGGATGCCAGATGTTGCATTTTTCTTACAGTAATGGTCAAACCACTGCTCTGTTCAGCTCTGGTGACAAGACATCAAAATGAAAGGTACTGAATTCGGAAAGCATGCAA